TAGGAGGGGGGGGGGGTCTCAAATCCGCATTAAAAATTTGGCTAATATTTATGAGAGGGTGGGTCCACAGAAAGTAAGGGGACTGGGGCTCTTCTATCATACCGTTAAGAATTTTGCTAATATTTATGAGAGAGTGGGTCCAGGGAAAGTTAGGGGATTGGGGCTCTGTTATTATTCCTTTAAATGAAACTTTTTGTCTGCTTGATATTTACATTGTCAATTTCCAAGACTAACTCTGATGGTAGTAGTAGTCTGTAATAAACATCAGACAATCGTGCTGCCTCAAATAAATGCCCACCCATCTAGCCCCCAGCACTAAGTTTAACAGGCTGACTAGACGAGCTCTGATTAAAGCCAGTCGAATCTCTTTCCTGAGCCAGCCAGACAATTTAATCTAAAGGTGCAATGGGTCTCTTTGCAAGCCTTATTTAAATATTACACACCTTGTAGCTGTTTGTAGAATTAGTAGGATTTTAGAGTGACTGTGAGTGTGCAGTCATACACAGACACATGCATGCACGCACACACACACACACACACAAACAGATAATGAAAAGCATGTGCACACGCACACCTGCCAACTTGGACATTAAGTTCCCTATTAACAGGAAGTCTCTGGAGTAACTTAGGCAATAAATCCATGTCAATCTAGAACATCTCTGAACAGCCAGGTTTATCCAGGTACCTCCAGAATATAGGTGTGTAATTTGCCACTCCTGACACAGCACCTGCAATCAGGGGTTGATTAGAACATAAAATGCAGAGTCCTGTCATATTATTCATGACAGACACATTTAAACTTTAATTCTTCACCAAGGGCACGATTATTTATTATTTTAATAATATGTATTAATTCATTATCTCCCCCCCCCAAAAAAAAAAATTAATAATGATAATAATTGCCACATTATAAAGACACAATTATGCACACAAGGATTTTCTGCACTTGGATTTTTCATGTGGCTTTCATTATTCCCCCCCCCCCCCCCCCTTATATTGTCAAGGTAGACTTTATCCCAAGCGTATTAACCCCTGCTAACTCTTCCTGTCCAATTTTTACCACTTTGAGTAAAATTCATGTGAATTATTATGAGCGACCAGAACATGGAAGACTACAAACTTAATAATGGGGGTATATGTTTTGGTTCTAGTTCTTTGAATGTATCTATGTTTAACTTTTAAAAAATTCAATAAAGATTGTAATTATGTGATACTTAATTTATTTTTCTTTTTCCAGGGGTCCTACAAAAACTAAAGTATGCCAGCTGAAGGCAGAGTTTTGCTGGAGGAAGAGTTCTATATATATATATAAATAAAAGAGGACCGTTAGAAGATGTTATATACATGTAATCAATCGAACTTTGTGACTTCTTTAAAATTTAGAAAACAATAGTAAAGCCTGAAAAAAAGAAAAGGCTGAATTATTGGTATTATATTCTACAATTACTATTATTATATAATTGATAGGTGAACGTGTTCAAAATGCTACTGAGAGTTAACAAGCTAATTGAAAGAAAAATTAAGGGCGTCATTCTGATCTAAGGCTAGTAATTCTTGTTGGTATATTACCACACAAACAATATTTTCTGTACAGATTTTTTTTCTGTTGAGCATTTATGTAAATCCTCTGTCAAATTTGCATATATGTTGATTGTAATCTGAAATTTGCATATGTGTTGATTTTATTCTTTTGGGCATCTTGTAATCATTCTGATCACTAACGGCCAGGATTTTCTGTCACAGGCTTGGCATCATTTGTTCAGACCAGGGGCCTGTCTAATCTTCTTTGTCGTTTCTTTTGTTGAAACTACATGGTGTTGCCTCAAGAAAAAGCCATTTCGCAATTCTTTCTTCATTGCCTCGTTATAATCAATATTATTATTTTATTTTACTTTCTGTTGAGTAATTCTTTATAGTAAGATGTTGTCAGTGTCCCTCTTCGTAGCTACTTGTAGTACATGCAAAAATTTAGATGATTTTTTTCCAGCATCTGTAATCCAAGATTTCTTAAATTATTATTAATTTTTTATTTTAATTTTTACGATTGCCAGACATCAACTCTCCGGAACACTATAAAAGTCAATTGTGGTACATGTGATTAAATAAGAAAGATGTTGCCTTCGAAATGGGAATGAACTCCCCCTCTTCTATGTGATTACACTGATATGTTTAGGACCTTTCAGGGTTTTGAGTTGTAATTGGTAAAATTGTTTTAAGTACTCTAACTTGACTCTGGTATTGTTAAGCCAACAAGGCTGCTTTAATATTGTAACATCGTTGAGAAATGGACACTGTATCATCTTTAAGATGGAGAAACCTTGGTCTAGAGAGACGGGTTGTTTGGTTCAGCAAAAGATACCAATGATTTCTGTTGTTTTGTGACCTTTCTATTTTCTTGACTTTGATCTATAAAATGAAGCCGGTTGCAAGTGGTTCAGTATAATAAAGAACGACAGTATCTTGGAATTAGAATCAACACACTTGTTTCTTGTAATGCTGGATTGGTTCAATGGTAGTAAACGTGGTTGCCTGGCCTGTTCATCCACTGGATACCTGCTTGCTTAGCAAGTAGGCATTTTACTTGCAGATCTGAAGGAGAACGTGAATACAAAATGACGAGAAATTATCTTAACGCTTGAACTTATCGCATTGACCTAGTCTGTAGGCATTATTCTGGCCTGTTATTTTGTGATTGATTTTTCGAGAGTAATAATAATACCTGTTAAATAAATGAACGGGAATCTAAATCCGATAGCTGTTATTTTTATTACTATGATACAATATGATCTATTTGCTTTAGCGGGTTTTTTTTCTGGCAGCTTAAGACATTATCTTGACTACTGCAATGGTGAAAGTTTATTATTTGTATTTCGTGGACTTGAGTATATGCGAAGGTCTGCTGAACTTGTGGACTCTCTAATGTACAGGGCAACAAAAAGGCCTGTCAAATGATGTGATGTACGTGTAGTGAAAAGAGCTGCCGCAACTTTTCAAAAGGCGATTAAATTTGCAATGATGGCAAAAATTGTAAAAAGGAGTTCGTTGTTGTTACTGATTCGTCATTTGTTGGTTCGTTTGAGAAAATCCAAGAAATTTGTGCAAAACTTTAGGGTGTTAAATTTTGTTCAAGTCTGATGCAATGCCTTATATTCGACAAGTGTTTTATTTCTTTTTACTGCCACATCTTCTATAGTGTAAATGTTTGAGGAGTGAAAATGAGAAAACGGTCTCTTCTCATATTACACCATTCCTTGAAACATTTATGGATTTTCATCTCCCAAGTTTGCAAAAAAAATAAATCATATCAGCAAGCCGTGTGTTGTAACCAAAATAACGTTAACAGGTCCCGTGGAGATTTTTAAGGATACCTAGCTTCAATAATGTTGAATGCATTGTTTATATGGGTGAACATAGTACCTCTCTCTTCCGGTTGTGAAGTGTTCGTGAAATGTGTTAGCTGAGAACTATGTAGAGCGCATGCGCCGACATTGTTTACATCCGGTGTGTTGAGCATGCCATTTTACACAGCCGGCAAGTGGGCGATAACGGTATTAAACTTTATCCGAGAAGATTAACTGAAACTGACTTAAGTAAAAGCAGAAACATGTCGACATTGAATAACGAGATGGGTTTCTTCACAAGACCTGAAAAATCGTTCTCAGAAGCAATGAAGGATGCTTGGAAAGCGGCACAATCGGGGCGCAGCCCCATGGAAGCGCATTTTGAAACTGACTCCCTGAGCGAAGAGTCGGCCCGACAGCGCTTTGAAGCCCTCAACGCAGCTGGTAGATTTTTCTACGGGTCTCTCAGCATAATTGTACTCTATTTAGCCGACACGACGACCCTACCTTACGTGTATGCTGATGACCCAGATGCATTAACCACAAGACGATGGGTGTTTTACTACATTTTCATAAACCTGACTTTGAATTACCTGTTAGTCATCTTCCAGTTGTCTAAGTACAAGCCAGACGCTTTGCCGACAGTTGCTCCGAAGGAATGGTGGAAATACTGCGACCGCTGTAAAGATCGTATACCAACAAGGGCGCATCATTGCCCCCTGTGTTTTGCGTGCATTTTACGTCGAGATCACCACTGCTTTTTCGCTGGGGTCTGCATTTCTTACAACAATCAGCGCTACTTTGTTGTTGCATTGACTTACATCCTCGTGGGATGCTTGTACAGTTTATGGCTAAGTAACAAGTACCTTTCCGGGACTTACAGAGCTATGTTTTCGTCTGAATGGTATTATTTTCTTCCCCCTGTGATGCTGTACGACTTCGTTTTCGGAATTGCGACCATCAAAGTTTTGCTCATCTGTGTGATAGGATTTTTCTCGTTTTCCGCGGGTCTCACTGCCGCATATTACTTGACGATGCAAATTCTTCTTATTATAAGAGGACAAACGACTCACGAGTTTGGAAAAGGAATAATAACTTACAGAAGAGGCTTAAAACACAATATAGAATCTGTGTTCGGACCTATTTGTTTGGTTCCTTTTTATTTCATATTTCCCGTAGTGTACTGTGTGAAACCAAAAGGAAATGGACTAGAATGGGAAACTGTGAACGGGAAGAAAGTATGATGAAGTTATTAGTACTGCTTTCTTTATCCTATCATCACTGAATTAATTTTTTAATTATCAGTCAACAGCTTTATAGGCTTTAAAACTTATTACTGTTTTTACTTTTCAATTTTTATACTTTTTATATGTGATACATATTTACATATGCATTGACATTGATACAGGTTATCATGAAAAAAAAGGCACCAAGATTTAGGTGTTTGAGTTTGAGAGATTACTGAAACAATAACGCCTCTCCACAAACTTTATCTCCCCACCCCCCACCCCCCACCCCCCCCACCCCCATTTCTAATTTCTGAATATCAAAGATTACAGTAGAAACTGGTTCCCAGAAATCTCTAAAATTCTGGGTATGTTAGTGTTAACATGGTTTGAATATTTCATTTTGGGTCATTATTGACACAGGAGGTCACCACCAGTCACAATGCATTCATCTCTTCTGTCAATAAACAATTAAGCTGTTGCTGTGGAGATAGTTAGCCTGCTCAAAAGCCGTGTGCTCTGCAGTCTTTGTACGATCAATTAGGATTTGTGCCAGCAAGAGCAGCCTCTTAAAAAGGCTTGAGCAAAATACTATACTACACTATGTATGCAGCTTTGCCAGCTGATCTTAACATATGACTGAAATTGTACGTGGTCAGCATATAAATTAATTTTATTGGACTAGTCCATTTTTGTGATATGTTTACTTGTATTTCTTCTAGTGCAGTACATCTGTACAAGTCATATTTCCATTTTTTTTTTCAAATAAACTTTCATTTATTAAATAATGAACAATACAAAGGTCTTAATTTCTATATTTGACTAGCAACAACATGGTTTTGAAACAAGTATATCAATTAGAGGAAGATTATGGAAGACAATGATAGTCTCAGTCTAAGTACAAAAAAATGTAAAAAGGCTACTTCAAAAAAAAAATAATAATAATTATTATTTATAATAATAATAAAGTAAATGACCTAAACAAAACATAAAAAGTATCAAAAAAATGTCTTCAGTGTTATTAACATGCACGTTTTATCTGCAGCAACATATAATGCCAATGATCTTAATTAAAAAGAATACCCTGAGAAAAAGACAGCTGATATCTAAACCTGTACAGCTTTCATTCTAAATAAAATGCAAAATTGTTCTAAAATTTGATGAAAAAAAAAAAAAAAAAAAAAACGATACCATTCGTGGCTGTAATTAGCCTGAAAATGAAAATGGAAACTGAATCTCAAAATTTTCCATCTTTGAATCACTCCTGGGAGGCGGAAAGGGGGGCTTTATACAAAGACCATTAATTTGCCAATCTCTGAAACTGGAGCAGTACAGAAAACAGTTCCACTCAATGTGAAAAGGGCCTAT